CGCCAGACCACGGCACGGGAAGTGCTGCCGGAGAATCGGAAGCACTGGCACCGGGGCCTCGGCTATCCCTTGGACCGGTCGCGCAGCCAGTTTCCGACGGCGGCGCCCGAATGCCATCGCCCCTTGTGCGCGGCGAAGGGCGTTGGCAGCGTGGCGGCGGCGACGCAGTGCACGACTTGCGGGGGGCGCTGGAGAAAGGGCCCCTAGGCGGAAATCATTCTGACCAAGGGCAAGGCGAAGACGCCAATGAGGCCAGAGGAGGAGAGCTACGAGGAGGCGTTCGGGATGTTCAACCAGAGGCCGAGGAGGGGCCAAGTCAAGCCGCCGAAGGAGTCCAAGGGGAAGCCGATGACCACCAGGGAGGGCGCGATTGCGGCGGAGAGCATGCCGGCGCCGCCAGGTCGGAAGCGCGCGCGGAACAGGGATCTGAAGGAGTGGGACAAGGCAGATGGATAGTTGTCCGGAGACGAGTGATCGACTTTGGCGTCTTAAGACCTGGCCTGATGGCGAGAAGGAAGCAGCTGGGCGCGAGTGCTGATGGGGCCTCTGCGGCGGACTTGCCACGATCATCGACGAGGAGCAATCGAGAGAGCGAGAGCTACGCTGCATGATCGGGCCTGCGTCGCGGGCGCCAGGCGGCGGAAGCTGAAACGGGGCACTTTCCAGGAGCGGGCCGGGGGCCTGCCCGGCAAGCTGAGCGACCAGGTGGTGAACTAGGAGGTGGGGGGTCGAGGACATTTTTTTCCTGGGCGAAGAAAGGAAGGACGCGCCTCGCGCAACCCTGTCGAAGCTTCGTCAAGAGAGTGGTATCCAAGTTGCCGAGGTGTTCTCCACGCCGCTGGTGTCCGAGGCCCTGCAGAAGCGGGGCCGCGGCGGTGGGCTGGCGCGCGACCTCAAGACCAGATGGAATTTCGATCGGGCCCAGGATAGAGCCGACTGTGCAGAGGAGGTTCGGCGACTGGACCCCATCTTACGATGGGATCTCCGCGGCGTGGCCCGTTCTCTGCCCTGATGGAGAGAAACTGCCCGCGCATGGGCCCGAAGAAGGCGAAGGCCTACCGGAATGGTGGGCTGCAGCTTCTTCGTTTCAGGATCCATATGCTCGCAGAGCGGCACGTGCGGGGGCGCTATATCCTCTTTGAGCATCCGAGGGACGCGGAGGGCCTCGCGGATCCGGCGGTGGACTCACTTGCAGGCCTGGACGGAGTTCAAGTGATCTTCGTTGACCAGTGTCGGTTTGGATTGAAGGGGGCCGAGGGTGGGGCGTGGAAGAAACCGACAGAGTTCAGCACCGGTTTCGGCCACATTGGCAACGAGCTGGAGAGATGATGCCGAGGAGATCATGAACATGAGATGTGGATCGATGGCAAGGCGCGCTTTGCTGAGCGATATCCGCTGGGGTCGCGTCGGGCGATCGCTCGGGGACTTCTGTCGGCAGCCAAGAGATGATGGGCACCGCTGGGCCGAGTTCGAGGAGGCCCACGCAGCGGATGAGGAGGGTGAGAACGAGAAGGTGCACCCTGTGGACGAGGGCGTGGAGGCACCAGAGGAGGAAACGCATGGCGAGGACGAGCTCTTGGAGTGGGCTCGCCCGAGTCGCGTGGACTTATGCCGTGCCTTGCGCCTTGGAAGAGCGCGCCTGCATCTGAATCGGCGGGCCAAGACCAAGTTCGAGTTCGACGCGTGCAAGGTGCGTGTTCATCTGGAGCCTGAAGCCGCGCACGATGAATCGCGTCGTCGGCATCGACCTGATCTTCCTCCAGGAGGGCAGCCGCGATAACGCGCCGTATTTCGACGACGCGGACTGGGGCCGAAGGGAAAGAAGACTCAATGGGACGCGTGGCTGGCGTTCTGCCGGCGCTGGCAACGGATGCGCGGGCCTCCAAAGACCCTGGTGGCGGACGAGGGCAAGGTGTTTACGGGGGCCGTTGCTGACCGACCAGAAGAGGAGGACAGCCTGATCTCCATGTTCGACGCCAGGGGTCCGCGGAATATCGAGGACCGAGAGGGCAGGAGGGCGCTTCAAGGCCATCTACTCGAAGCCTGTGAGCTAGAGCCGCTCGAGACCAGGAAGGAGGCAGAGGCGACGGTGCTTGCGTGCGAGGCTGCAAAGAAGCGATCCACCAATCGCTTCGGAGCCACGCCAGCACAGCGAGTGCCAGGCAGCTGCCAAGGCTGCCAAGGCTGTCAGGAAGCCTGCTGTCGGATGGCTGCATGGACGCACGCCTGCTCGCCCAGGGTCCCAATGCCGAAATGCAGCGAGCTCGCAGTCTGCGACTGGCTGCTCATCGGGCCATGATGGAGGTGGACGCGCACAGCTCGATCAGGAGAGTGCTTGCCAGCGGCCCAAGGCCGCGAGTGGAGGTGCAGCCTGGAGATTGGATTCGGGCACGGCGCGAGATCTCACAGGACCCTGCTGACAAGTGGTGCCCCGATCACGAGAATGAGCGCTGGGTTGGGCCGTGCGTGATTACCAAATATGGTGCTCGGGCAGCTCATTGGATTGGTTTCTGGAGCATGCGGTTTGGGCGACGCACCTCTGCGTTTCCGCGCGGGGCTGGCGCAGGATCTCGTGAAGCCGGGCTATCGCCAGAGCGCGCCGGGCCCAAACGCGTTCATGCTTGTCCCCGAGGACGCCCCCGTGCAGCCGCTGGTCCGTCTGGCGGATCTTGGAGCTCAGCGTGGAGTTGCTGGGCCTGGGATCCAGGCCCCGCCGGGTGTTGAGGGGACTTCGGCCGTGGAGATGGGCGACATCTTCGACGTCGGCGGCGAACGCCACCAGCAGCGGATGACCGAGCTACGCAGTCGGAGGTTCGGTAAGGTCATGGCGTTGGTGTAGGAGAAGGATGGCGCCATGTTCAACGGGCGCCAGTGCGCCCAGGGCAAAGGCTACAATTTCCACGCGTCCAGGAGGAAGTTCATAGAGGAGCGGCTGTCACCGTTAATGCGTGCTCACCCGGAGAGCGCAGTCAAGCAAGTGCTGCGCTGGGTTCCCTCACCTGGCTCGCGCGAGAATTACGTGTCGACGGAAGTGGACGATGCAGTGCGCTGCAGCAGGCGCTGAGTGAGCTCGCTTGCGACGGCGTGAAGGAGATTAACCAGCCAGTGAAGCATATGAAGGAGACCGCCGACCTGGGCATCGCGGCGCGGTCGATTCCTCTCGAGTAACTGATGCGGGGATCCGTGTCGGACGCGAGCCTTCGCAACAGCAGCGAAGGTGGGTCGCAGAGGGCCTTTGCTGCGCTGGCAAACGCTCGAGGAGATGCTGCTGGACAGCGGGATCCAGTTAGCCTGTTGGCGTGGAGAAGTTCGCGAATGAATCGCGCGGTGGACTCCACGCTGCGCGCCGAGACCCTGTCGCTCAACGCGGGCGTAGCCGAGTTGGGGTGAATGGTCACGTTGTGTCACGAGTTCACGTTCTCAGGGGTTCGACTGAATGAGTGGGAGAGGTGGCGGGGGCAGCGTCGATTGTTGTCGCTGGCAGGGCGCAGCGCAGTGGAGAAGGAGGCGTTCTTTCTACGTAAGGGGCTATGCGTGGTGGACGCCAAGTCGTTGCACGACTGCCTGCAGTGGACGGCCACCGGAGGACGAGATCGCAAGCGCTCCACACAATTCCAAATCATACGTCAAGCCATGAATGCCATGGGATGCGACATTCGGTGGGCCGATGATCCTGCGATGATCGTGGACGGTATTGCGAAGCGCAGGGCCAAGATAGATCTCATGGCGGAACTCATGCGGAATGGGTCGATGTGCATCGTGAATGAGGAGGACAACATGGAGGCCCACCAGCAGCGAACTGCTGCCGGACAATGGCCCCAGCGCTGAAGGCCATTACGTGTATAGGCTGACGGGAACACATGTTCAGGAGCTGTTGATGTCTGGTGATATCTATGCTCTGTGCTCTTCCCTTCAGCTCTCCATATGCCCGCGCCCGCGCAGACAGCTGTTTCAGGCCCAGGCTGGTGTACCCCCGTCTCCCCTTCGTTTTTCCCGTTGCCAACCCGTAGCATGTTTCTCTTCCTGTCTTGCACTGTTGTAATCGTTCGCTGTTCAGTGACGTGTGCGGTGCAACTTGAGATGAGACGCTTGTGCGACTCGTGCTGGGAATGAGGTCAGCATCTTCGCGTCTTTCGGCTCCCTATTCCTGGCCACGGCGAGCCTCGGCCGCGATGAGGTTACCCGACCCGGATCCGAGGAACGACCCGACGGCCAGAGCCCCTCCTGAACCCAGAGTAGCCCTTTGCGTCCGCGTCGTGCCCGTCGAAAGGGAACACTTCTCTCGATGGCACGCTCTCTCGAGGCTCGGGCCGCCGCCGCCGAAGCTCGGGGGCTCGATGGAGCGAGGATCGACGCCGCTGGACCTCTCTGGCTAGCTTCGGGCCTCCTTGCGGAGACCGCTGTCGACCTGAAGGGCCCTCTTCCAGCTGCGCCCGTCGCCCCACCAGCGGCCGCCGCTGCCGTTTTTCCTGCCGTCGCTGTCGGGGTCGCCACCGTCGGTCGTCTGTCGTCTGTCGCCGCCGTGGTTTCCATCGCTGCCCTCGGGGCAGCGGCTGCCCCCACCGCCGTCCGTTATCGCCGCCCTCCCCCGCCGCCGTGGTGATCATCGGCATCAGTGTCGGCGGCGTCCCCTGAGATCCGACGTCGCGAAAAAAATTGGCAGCATCGCGGAAAATCACGACCAGAGCCCTAGACCCCATCTTCTTGCGGCATTTTTCTAGTTGGATCGGTCTGTGATGGTCCCGGGCTTAGGGGTTCTTGGACACGGCTGGGCTGTTGTTTCTTTCGACCGACTCCAAAAGATTGAATATTGACGGTGAAACACGGCTCGCCGAACAGGAACCGGAAAATCAGGGCAACGATGTTGGACAACCGAGTGCAGAATCGGCCAACCGAAGCGGGGGAAGAATCGGCCCCGCCGTTTTCGAGGACCATTAAGGCCCCAGGGCCCAGAAGCGGGCGAACATGGCCCAGCGTGTCAAACCTGCAACGCCCAGATCTCAGGATCGAAAGGTCCCGCCGCGAGCTGTCTGCGCCCCCAGCTGCCGCAACGCGTCGCGGCGGCCGCGCCGCGCGGCGGCCGCCATGCCCGGGGTGTGCCCGATGCTGCGGCCGCCGTCGGCACGCGGGGCGTCGTGCGCGCGAACTCTGCTGGCTGCGCTGGAGGACGTGAAGTTGCGGCCTCAGGCGGCGCGGCGTCGACGGCCACGGCGACGACCGCGGCGACGTTCCGAGGAGGATGAGGAGTGGATTTGATCGTTTGTTTGTTCCTTCCCAGGGTAACGGTCGTTACCCGGGCCGCCCCCCCCCCCAAGGCAACATTGACGATTGTATTGGCACGGGGTGGCCCAGATCCCCCTCTACATGCTGCTGGGCGGACGCTCACCAGGTTTTGCGCTGTGCTCACAGGCGTGGCGTGGTGCCGAAAGGCATGCTTTGGCGTTCACAAACGTGTTGTGGCGCTCGCAGGCTCCCCACCTGTTGCGGCGCCGAGCTCACAGGCGTGGAGTGGTGCTGAAAGGCATGTTTCGGTCCACGCAGGCATTGCGAATTGTCGTGTACACAGGGACTCTGGTGCACACAGGCGATTGATGCGCCGCTGGCGCGGACGCACGCTGGCGGGTGCACGCCGTGGCCGCTATTACCTTTACCCTCCCGCCCGACCCCCCCAGGTAACGACCGTTACCCGAAAGAAAATCGCGGTCACGATGGCGCTGCTCTTCTTGGGGGCCCTCGTCGCCACGGCTGGAGTCGCCCCCAATTCCTGGTCCGAGCGCACACCCGGAGAGGGCCGTGTAGCAGCGGCATCGGTATCGTCTTGTCCCCCGAGGCGTGGATGACGGCGACGGCGACGGGAGTTTAGGGCCGCCTGCGGCTCCTCGGGGCCGAGAACATGTCCATTCTGTGATGTGCTGTTTGTCTACCAGTTAGTGGCAAGTGGCGGCCTAAACACAGTGTGTACATCTTTTTTCTGCCACAGGGTTTTCTTCGCGCTTGCTTAAGAAAGTGTACATCTTGTTTCAACACCTGTCGCCCGCAGGGCCCCATGGAAAAAATTGGACTGTACGATGCGGTGTCCGGTGGCGTTTCTGCGAAGCCCCTTGGGACAGGGCCCAGAAGCCCGAGTGCAATTACATCTGCGGGGTTCCCAGCGGCGGCGTCGTCGGTCTCGGGCGTGCCGATGGAGGCAGGCCACGCTCGGGCCCCCTCGCTGGCGGCATTCGTCCCAGCGGAGAACGATCGAATGGGCCCGGTGGCATCCTGCCAATCGCCCCGGTGCTCGAGGGGGCCATTGCCAGCAGCCACGGGCAGGTTCGGCACGGGGTTCCGTTCAGGACGCGCGCCAGGGCAGGTCCTGCGGTTGCATTATATCCGACCCCGAACTCCAGGTGGGTTTTGGAGGTCGCCGCGGCGATCGCGGCGGCCCAAAACCTGGGCGAGTTTGTTGTCAAGGAGTGACATGCACCGTCCCAGCCCCCCAGCTCTGTGATGTAGACGTGGCTCATAATTAACAACGCAGCGACAGAGAGTTGTCGGTTCATGTCGAATTTATGCAGTCGTGTTTCTGTTGGTTAGGGGTCGGGTATCGTGCAACTGTTTTGTTGTGCATCCTAGTCAGGATGCAGCTCCTGGGAGGGTAAGTGCAGCAACAGCGCTGGCAGATTTATGGCCAGAGACAGGCCTCATCTGGTACGATCCTCCTTCATCTCTTGCCGTCCGTCCCACTCGGGCTCAATCCTGTGAGCAATGCCGCTTCATGGCCCCTTAATCGGGCTTCGTAGATATTAATCGGACAGGGCCAAGACGAGGGTAAATCCGCTCCAGAGCGGTTCGGAACGCTCACAGAGCCTTCTGGAACGCTCTGAGAAGGCCGCGGCGCCCGAGACATCTTCTAAACCGGCTGATTCTCAGAGATTCTCGATTTATCCTCGCCCTAATGTGTTCTCGTCCTGGTTTCGTCTCAATTCATCGTTCTTGCGACTGCCTCCCATCAGTTGCCTCCTGAGCTTAGGGTGGGCAGAGTGCGCGTGTGACGTGGCTCGGTCCACACCGGGAGGGAGGAAAGCCCTCCGGGCCCGCGCCGCCTGGGTGCGGCGGCAGCCTGGGGGATGGGCGTCCAAGGTCAGGGCGTCTGGGCCTCGATCAGTGCCCAGGGCCTCCAGCGTCTGAGGACCTCCGAGAGCTGCAAACCTCGAGCGGCGCCAGGAGCAGATGGGGGTCTCGGGCTCCGGGGAGGGTTTTGGAGGCTTTCGGGATGGCTTTCGAGTCCAACGGTACGCACGACAGCGCGCTTTGAGTGCATGTAGTGTTCAGTCTAAGCAAGATGTCACTTGAAGGCATCAATGCACAAGATGTGTTTTCCGAAACCTTCCAGCTGCCTGCGGCAAACCAACGCCTCTGTGCCTGTGCAACAGCGCAGCAGGGAGGAGACTGACTGTGTGAACAGCGCAATTCAAACAACTGGTCTAAACTGGACTGGGACGGGTCGTGAACCCGACCTCGTCTTCGTCCGCGTGGTAGGGGGGAGGTCGATTTCACACGCCCCTGCAGTTCAGCGAGCGGTCTGAACTGAGGCGGGTCGTGAATTGGAGTTCATCTTCGTCAGCCCCACAGGGAGGATGAGGAGAATGGGTAGTACATGGAAATTAGCCTGACGAAGGACCCAGCCATATGCAGCTGCGAGTACCGCGACGGAGACGAGACGAAGAAGGGGGGCGCGAAAACTCCGAGTAGCGCATGCGGTACAGCCTTCGGCCACGAAACGTGTGAGCATGCGAACGTCGCTATTGGGGCCTTCCGTGGAGCTCCCTATAGGGCCACGAAACGTGTGACGGGTGTGCCGAAATTGGGCGGTTGTGCCATGCGAGTTTTCCCACTTGGGGCCTTAGGTGGAGGTCTTTTGGGGGCCACGAAACGTGCCAGGGTTGAGCCGAACTGGGGCGGCAGTGACATGCGAATTTTCCCATTGGCCCTAGTTGGAGCTCCCTATGAAGCCACGAAGCGTGTGAGGGGTGGGGTGTGCCGAAACGGGGCGGAGGTGCCATGCGAATTTTCCCATAGGGGCCTTAGGTGGTGCTCCCTATGGGACCACGAAGCGTGTGAGGGTTTGCCGAAATGGGGCGGCGGTGCCATTCGACCTTTCCCACTTGGGCCTTCTGTGGAGCTCCCTATTGGGCCACGAAGCGTGTGACGGGTGTGCCAAAGTTGGGCGGCGGTGCCATGCGAATTGTCCCACTTGGGGCCTTAGGTGAAGCTCCTTGTTGGGTTACGAAACGGGTGAGGAGTATGCCGAACTGGGGCGGCGGTGCCATGCGAATTTTCCCACTTGAGCCTTAGATGGAGCTACCGATGGGGCCACGAAGCGTGTGAGGGGCGTGCCGAACTGGGGCGGCGGTGCCATGCGAACTTTCCCACTTAGGTAGAGCTCCCTATTGGGCCACGAAGCGTGTGAGGGGCGTGCCGAAATGAGGCGGCGGTGTCATGCGAACTTTCCTACAGGGGCCTTAGGTGGAGCTCCCTATGGGGCAACGAAGCGTGTGAGGGTGAGCCGCACTGGGGCGGCGGTGCCATGCGAATTTTCCCACTTGGGCCTCAGGTGGAGCTCCCCATGGGGAAACGAAACGTGTCAGGGGTGTGCCGAAATGGGATGGGCATGCGGAGGGGAGAGGCATGGAAGGGAGGAGGGAGGATGGGGAGGCGCAGAGGAGGAGGGGGAGGAGGAAGCAGGGAGGAACGCGGGGCGTTGTCCCTTCCAAACGAGGACCCAACACCACAGGGTGGTTAGAAACAATGAGTCCTCCGAGGAGCCTCCTGGGCGCCTCCTGCGCGTCTCCTGCGCGCCTTTTGGGGGCCTCTTGGGGCCTTTTGGGGCCTCTTCGGCCGTCTTAGGGGACTCTTGACCCGTCTGACGCATTCGGAGGCAGTCTCGGGGGCCTCTCTGTACCGTCTTGGCGCTCTCTTGGATGGGGTTCCCTGTTGGGAGGCTCTTGGGCGATCTGGGGGTCCCCTTGGGCCGACATGGCGGGGCGTAACAAGCCGAGTTACTACCTGGAACAACAGAAGGCCACACCTCCTGGAACGGTCCGCCACGGACCGTCTTCTGACCGTGCCTGGCCTCCAGAGCCGCAGTCGACGTGAGGTGTTCGCGTCGCCTGGGGCCGGGGTGTGATGTTTGCCATGCAAACAGGGCGCCCCGCGTCAAGGAGGGAGGTGGAGAAGGAGGAGGAGGAGGAGGAGGAGGAGATAGCGGTTGAGGAGGACGAGGAGTGCCGGGATGTGGAGAGCCGCCCACGCAGGTGATTCACGTGGGGGGAGTCAGCGAGGCAGAGCTGTCGATGGACTTTGACGTGCTGGCCGAGGGCCTGCCCGATGGCGCGCGCATCTACCTCATCGGCCCTGACATGGCGGGGGCGTCCATGGGTCCAGGACGGCCGCGCCACTCCCAGAGCCAGTAGGACAGGACCTTCGTACGGGTTCTATTGCCCTCTTCGCTGGCTCAGAATCGCTCCCAGACCTTTCCATGTTTGCGTTTTGGCCAGGGTTTCGACGCGGATCCAGCCGTGGCGACGAGGAGACCCCAAGGAGCCAAACACGTCCAGAGGCATCGCAGCTTGAACCTCGTCGACATCGTCGACTGAATTGTGCCTGCGGTTCCCTTGCGGAGTCCATCCTGACCCTGTTTACCGAGCCCCGTCCAGCCGCCGCGTTCAGGATCGCCGATCGATTGCTCCTTGCTGCTTCCTTCTGGTGGCCTTCAGAGGAGGGGGGCAGCAGTAGGAGCAGCAGCAGGATGGGAGGAGGAGGAGCAGGCAGCAGCAGGACCACGAGGACGAGGAGCAGGAGGAGGAGGAGGAGGAGGCGGCGGACGTTTGGGCGGCCTCCGTGGCCGACGACGACCGCAGAGAGATGCATCGTGCGTCTGTTCGAAACTGCCCCTTGCTCCCCGGGGAGTGCCGCGGCTGGCGCGGCCGCGGGCGAGCTGTCTGGGCCCGAGCGGCGAGGCCGCCTCGAGATCTTCCTGTTCGGCCAGACCTACCAGAGGTCCGCCGGGGCCTGCGGCACGTCCCTCCCCAAGTTGTCCAGCAAACAGGAATGACATTGACCAGAGACCTTCTGGGCGACGAGCACTCGGCAACGGCAAGATGAGCATGTCACATAAGACATTCTTGTCGGAGGCGGTGCGAATGCCAAATGTTCAGAAGAAACGGTTGTGTGCCTGAAGTGATGCAGGCCTGGTTCGAATTGAAGTGTCTTGCGCAGCGTCCCTCTCCAGGCCCTCCCTCGCGCACTGGAACAAAACACTTGGCGGACAGTTGTTTGCCGCTTTGGGCCTCTGGGGGGCCTTCGAGGGGCCCACAGGCAGTCAAGAAAGGGCTCGAGGTGAAGGGCTGGTCCCGGGGACTGGGTCGATACTCAGGTCGGCCAGGGCACCGGATTTTGCAGGATCCTGCAGGTCCAGGGCCGCCTTGACCTTTGCTTGCGTGCAGGATCCTGCAGGATTTTGCAGAAACCTGTAAAGCCTGGCTGACCCTGGTTAGGACTGACCCCGGGTCAGGAGATCCCCGAGAGACCTTTTTGGGGGGCGACGTCGTGCAGGAGTCACGACATCGGGGACGTGGGTTAGTCAACAGAGAAAGAAGCACAGACACAACTAATCGTCGTCTCACACGAAAATATCAGAAACTATGGGAAATGCGGGGGAAGACGAAAGCACAGAAAGTATAGGATAATTGGGGAATCCTGGGATTTGTGTGTGTGTGTTTTGTGTGTCCCAGGGCCCCTTTAGTCAGGGGCGGCCTGATCGACCCCTGGCAGACCGAGCCCTTCCATGGCGGCCCCCTCGCCTCGCGCCGAGACGCGGGCAGGCGGCCGGAGGTGAGAGTCTCGAGGCCCCCAGGGGGGCCCGCGGGGTCGGAAGGAAGCTCCCGGGAGCCACGGTTGCGCCGCTCCTCCTCCCCCTCCCCCCCCTCCTCCTCCTCCTTCTCCTCCTGCTTCTCCCCCTCCTCCTCCCCCTCCTCCTCCTCCTCCTTCTCCTCCTGCTCCTCCCCCTCCCCCTCCTCCCCCGAAGGACCCCCCCCCAAACGGTGGACACCATTGTGCACACTGTAGCCTATGTAGGCGCCCTCGTCGGTTGTCGGTCGCTTGCGTCCTCAAGGCGCCACACACCACCATGGCAACCTCAGGGTTGCGATCGGTTCGTCTTCTGCTCTTCGTTTTCTTCGCTGGTCTTTGTCAGGCACCCGTGCGTCATTGGTTTACCTTTTCAGGGGGTCGGGTCCTTACCTTTCGGCTTTCGGAGGCCTCTAGAAGAGGTGGCGGGCCAAAAGGAAGGGTCGCCGCGCCCTGCCCCTCCAGGGGTCCACGGGCGGGCACGCACGGCCAGCCCATGAGAGCCGAGCCCGAATTCCCGCTGCGCTACCAGCGCCGACGCCTTTGTCCTCTCTCTCTCTCTCTCCCTCTCTCTCTCTCTCTGGAGGGGATGAGAGGAAGTAGGAGGAGGGGGCTTTGGACACCGTACTCACAAGTACGGTGCGGGCACGTAATTGTCCACGTGACATTTCGGCGTGCTGACTATACCAGAGGGCTCATCAATCAGAGCGTGGAGCACGCACGTTCCGCATTGTGAGGGGCGCGTTCGCATACGACCCAGGCCTGTTCCCATGCGAGTGCCTATCGCACCACACAAGCTCAATACTTTAAGGATGAGCCTTCCAAGCGGTCGTGGATCACCGAAGTCGGTGGGTCGCCTCATCCTTAAAGATGGGCTTAGGCGTCCTGAAGCCTTTCGCGTACTTGGAAGTCCTCCTCCTCCTCCTCCTCCTTCTCCTCCTGCTCCTCCTGCTGCTCCTCCTCCTCCTCCTCCTCCTCCTCCTCCTCCTCTTCCTCTTCCTCCTCCTCCCCCCTTCCGTAGCCATTTTGGCTCAAGCCGTATCGGCTCAGGGTGGTTTGCGCGACCCGCTCGGCCTGGCTCCCCCCGACCCGCTCCTCGGGTCTTCCTGCTCCCTCTCCCTCGGGCCGGGCGCGCCTCGGCCGACGGCCGTTCGCCCTCTGTCCCTCTCACTCCAGCCATGGCTGAGGCCGCTCGTGTTGCAGGATCCGTGAACGGCCTGCCTGCACTGCCTGGACAGACTCCCCCTCTTGCCCCTGCGGGGGCCGCGGGTGGGGGTGCGCCGCCGCCCGCGCCCGAGGTACAGTCGGAGGTGTCCGTGCAGCTTAGCGCCTTGACGGCGATTGTGAAAGAAGGGTTTACCTCGCACACAGCAGAGTTTGAGTTGTTTCGCCAGCAGATGACAGTGATGGGGACCAACTTCGATCGAATGCAGGAGGAGTTCGCGGAGATGAATCGTCGCTCGGAGGCTCGTTGGGCAGAGATAAAGAAATCCCAGGACGCAGCGATCCACCAGGTCTCGGTTGACACAGATGCGAAGTTGGCGGCAGTAGTGGCAAAGATCGACGTTCATATGCATGAGTTACAGCAGAAGCTCTCGGCAGGTTCGTCGACTCGCGCCGATTCGGAGTTCGAGCTCGCGGGAGGTGGTGGGGAAGGAGGGCGTCGGAAGATGTTGAGGACGTCGGGCCCCGACCAAGCCAGTGCTACTCGTCTCATTGTTCTAGGTTTTGAGAAGCCCCTGCTGGAAGCGCCTCTCAAGGAAGCGGTGGCCCCGACTGTGGCCGCGCGTAGTCCAGCTGGCGAAGGACCGATCGTTCGAGCATACCCCCTCACGCGGAAGGTGGTCTTTGACTTCCCCAGTGCTCTGTCGTGCGCGGCGTTCGTCGGTAAGAGCCAGACCATTGGTAAGACTGTATGCCAGAACCCGATTGATAACCAGGGCTGGGAGCTCCGCGCGCGTCGTGACTTGCCCCCCGCTAGCCGTAAGTTGTTCTACTACCTGGGACAGACTCGTGCGATCATCGGGAAGGTCTTGGGGGAGAAAGGTTTCCAGGTGGGCAGCAACGGTCTCGGCGGTCAGATATGCGGTCTCATCGCGGCCACCCGCCCAGCGATTCTTGCGAAGGTCATGGTCCTTGAGTGCGGTCGCCCCGAACTCGTTCTGATCCCTGAGGCCCTCGGAACGTTCGGAGTAGGTGAGCGCGCTGCCTGCATTGCCACCCTTTTTGATCAGATTCGGCCCTTTGTGTGAGGGCCCCAGTTGTCCTGGAGTTCCCCGCCTCGGGATTCCCAGTGCGCTGCCTGGTTATTTTTGTCGGGTCCCTGGTGGTTCGGGCCCTCCCTGGGATGGTGGGCCTGTCGGGGGAAACCATCGGGCCCGCGTGCCGACCAGCCAGGGCAGTGCTCAGCCAGCCAACCAGTGTTTGAATCTGAATTCAGGGGGACCGTATACCCCTGGTGACCCGTCCTCTGGAGCGAACGGGGTGTTTGCTCCTTCTTCTACGCTTGCCTTGTGCTCTTGGAATACGCGTGCTCTCTTGTCATCGTACTCTACTTCGTCTCCGCTGGCAGCTCGGCGTTATAAGCAGATGTGTGGTCTTGCTGGCAGGTTTGACGCTGTGTGTTTACAGGGGGCCCATGGCACGGCGTCTGATGTGGAGATTTTACAGCGTGATGACCGTTGTCGTAGTGCAATTATTCACCATTCGATGATCGACCCGAGGGCTGGTGGCGGTGTGGTTACAGTCATATCGAGTAAGCTGGCTTCATTTCGAATCGATCACTCCGTTTCCGTTGATTGCTGGCCGGTTTCTCGCCTTCTCTCTCGGCCCCTGTCTTGAGTGATTTGGCGGTGACGGTAAATACCCTGGGGCATGCCGTTAAGGCCTTCGCCTCGCCTGACCACATCCCTGTTGCGGCCACTGTCGCTCTGAGAATGCCATCAGCATTACCCACCCAGATTCCTAAGTGGATTTCCCGACATGGAGCTTACCATGCGTTGTGTGCCAGCGCTATTTTGGAAATCGGCCAGGATTTGACCCCTCGGGAGAAACTGGCTCGGGTGAAGGAGATATTCTGGCAGATGGTCGCTCTGTTCAAGGCTCGGCTTCGGTCGAAGCCCCCGAAAGAGAATTGTGAGAAGCTCCACTTTGCTATGATGGCCTTCCGTGGGTGGCGCATGTGCAGGTTCGATCAGTGTGTGCGTGCGATACGTGCATATCCTCGGTTGCTTCAGTACTTTGATCCAGACCGTGAGAGATGCTTGGATATAGTCGGCTTGGGTGCATTGGTGCAGTCTCTGAAGGATGCTTGGCATGAGTCGGAGGAGCGGGCGATGGACGGGTGGGAGGATGACGAGAAGTCTAAGGCTAAGGCCATGGCCCGCTTGCAACACCTCCGTCGTGCTTGGTCAAAGACGCGTCGGCGCTATGGGCTCTCTGGGGTCCTGGACAGTGCTGGGCAGGCGCGCCCTTCTCCGGCGGCCTCTGCTGAGGCCCTCCGGGACCATTGGCAGGCGGTTGTTGCAGCCAAGGAACCTGATCGGACCCTTTGGCCTGACATCCTCGCTCATGCCCAGCCGATCCAGTTGGACCCATTACATTGGAAGTTGGACGTTGACGGCTTTATTGAGCGAGCCCGATTAAAGCATCACTCTGCCCCTGGGGAGGATGGCATTCCA